GTGCCAAAGAAGGCACTTTTGCAGCTCACTTTCATTATTTCATCGACCTCATCAATTCTCAAGAAAAAAAAGAAAAAGAAAAAAAAAGACACCTTTCATTATTTCATCGACCTCATCAATTCTCAAGAAAAAAAAAAAAAAAAAAAAAAAAGACACCTTACATTAAAAGATACAAATCTATGTTAGAGATGTATTAATAATAAAAAAAAGGAAGAGGGAAATTGAGTAGCAGCATCAACTAGAAAAAGTTCAAATCATAAATAGATTACTAAATCCTCCTTGAAAGTCCTAGAAGACAGTAGCTGATGAGATTTGCACCTTGAGATCAGCAATATCAACATCATGCCCACCTTCAACCAAACCCCATCTATCTACCTGCAAGGATATAGGAGAATTATTAAACTAATGCCCCTTTAATCATCCTGGAATGTTTAATATTTCAGGAGAAGCAAAAGAGAAGGAGGAAATGAACCTGCAGATCTTCCTCGATTCTAATCAACTCAATAGCTTCATCAATCTGCAATTTTCCACGAAAGAATCCTAGGGGATAACCAGTGAATGTGCAGCTGCTGCAATTGCATCAATTGCTGCCAACTCACAGTCATCAGTCTTCTTTAGAACATTCTCCACAGCGTTTATGAGACCATCCTCCTGCTTCCCACCAAAAAAGCTACAATATACAATGGGCTGAAAGCCAAATTCTGATGTTAGCCAATAAAGGGATCAATTTTCTTGACCTGTCAGTCTGAAAACATGAAGGTCTAGTTGTTGAAAATTATCCACTTTCTTTAATTCCAAATGAAATCCATGCATAAAAGAAGCGAGCTTTGTTGAAAGGATATAATTTGAGACGGATGAAAAACCTTATTACCTCTAATTAGTGCTCAAAAGTTAATGTAGGTTGAAATCAAACTATTTACAATTCAGACATTGGTTACGGTTATGGAATCGCTAAATGGGTGTATTTATGACCAAGGAGATAATATATCTCTTTATAAGGTATTGTTTAACCATAAAGGAAACACACACACACACATATATATAACAATGCAATATGCTGAAAAAATAATCAAAATGACAGACCAATAGATGCAATGAGCCACGAAAAACCAACATACCATGTACACCGCTTGTCAGTTCATTATCATCTGGGGCACGATAGGATACTAAATCTTGATTGAACTTTTTCATCAAATTCCCAATGATAGTCATTCGTGTGAGTGGAACTCTCTCCAAAGCCGTGCAAGCAAGTTTCATGAGAGGCATTGTAAAGGGTCTAATTCCATCTGTTTGCTACAATAATTAATATCTCATTACAGAAACAAACAGAAAACCTCTCAATCTTACTTAACTTATCAATTGAATGAATCAATAAAGCTACCCCTCAAGCAATTGGGGCTATGAGTACATCCAATTGAAAATAGAACAAATTAAGCTAAAACTATTGAAAATCCTGCATGTGGGCTCAATACAAGGCTTGCATCCAACCTAAAACCAATTGGCGATAGGTGGAGTAGCCCTCCTTGTATTTAACCCACAAGCTTCTTATTTTTATATTCGATGTAGGATTTTCCCACTTAACACGCCACCTCACGTGCAGGCCCGCTATGAATGTCGGGTCCTGTCACGTGGGTTAACACGCCCCCTTAAATGCAGGCTCGGTATCAACTTCGAGTCCTGTCAGGTGGGCTAACAACGAGCTTCCCATGGTAGAACCTGGGCTCTGATACCATATTGAAAATCCTGCATGTGGGCTCAATACAAGGCTTGCATCCAACCTAAAATCAATTGGCGATAGGTGGAGTAGCCCTCCTTGTATTTAACCCACAAGCTTTTTATTTTTATACTCGATGTGGGATTTTCCCACTTAACAAAAACTAACAGAATGCAAACACTAAACTAACATCCCAATTAATCTCAACCAAAAATTTACGTAAAAAGGAAAGTAGAGCAGACGAGCAGAAACACACCTGATACTCCCATTCAGCAGCAATGGCCTTAGCCAGAGCCAAAGTGGGCAACTTGAGCGGCCTCTTGGAGGGTGTCTTCAGGGTCCGGTAATCAAGCATCACCGACCATCCAACTCCATCATCAGACTCTCTGGTACTCACTTTCTTATAAAATCTCTTCCCCACTATAGACCCCGTCATAAATGACATCGGCATGGTCACTGACAGCGCTGTCTCGGTCTTGGCAGTAGAATTCGGTGCCTTGACATAAATGCTATCTTCTTTATCCTTGCTCTTGTCGTCAAAAGTGAAGGAAGAAGAGGGGCCGTCCGCCTGTGGCTCCTGGGCAGTGGCGACGGAGCTTAGATAGCGAGAACGAAGAGCAGTGAGAAGGTTAGGACTTCTGACCGGTTTCAGGGTTTTGGATATAAAAGAAGTCGCCATGGATTCCTCTGGTGCTTTGAGAAAGCTAAAGTGGGTACCTTCTGACAACTTGGCAGGGTTTTCCAGTGGTAGAGAGAAGCCAAAGTGAAGGAAAAATAAATTTTGGGCCTTTTGCAAAAGAAAACCAATTTTCAGTATCCAGTCTATCCTTTGATGATATTTTGATTTCTGTCCCTAACGTTTTCTTTATCACGATGCAGTCCATGAAACTGGTGCCGATACCATAGTGAGATCTGCTGCTTCCTTCTCCCATCACCCGGGGAAAAACTGACGGCTGAAAGAGGAAGATAGGAAATGGCTTCCTGGCATTCAGTTCCGCTGGAAATCACATTCGAAGTCCCCGGATGGCTAGCGTTCGTTTCTTGGTCAATCAGTTTCTACCCTCAACTTGAATTTCCGTCGGAAAAGGTAAAATCTTTCTTCCCCTTTTCCTGGATTTCCTCGGAAATGAATTTCCGGTGTTCGATTACTGAATTCCATGGCGGAAAGGCAGCGTCATCGGACTAACTTCGACTTTGTGGCCCTGAATTTGACCAAGCACTCCTCGTACTTGTTATACAACGCCGTTCTCTAATTCAGCCGCCATTCAGAAAAAGTACTTTGAGAAATACGGCCATAAGGAGTTTCGAGTCCTCCCTTTATTTTTCTTTTTATTCAATTGAATTTTATTTAATTTATAAATTTTGATTCTTTTCCTTCCTGCAGATGATTCCTGCACCAGCAAACGACGTTGCGTTTTCAATACATGCTGTTCGGCTGAGTGCTATTACTTTGTTCTAAATTGCTATCTATGATGGAAGTTGCTTGTTGTTCTTGAGTAAGACTATTTGGTGAAAACCCTATGGCATTAAGTGGTTTTTATTTTTCTCTGTTTGATTGCTCTGTGCAGCATGGAAATCAGAAAATTTCTAAGATTTTCATAGGAATTGTGTTTGTTGTGTGGTTGGCTGTGGCTGTTTGCCTTTTTTGTTGCTTTGCCTTAACATTCTTGGCTTTGGTTAATCTCTGTGTTCAAGTAAGATTTTTCACCTTCTGGGTCAACTCAAGTTGTTAACTTTCTCAATTCCATCAATGCTTTAAGATGCATGACAAATTTGAGATTCGACACTGCATTTGCTAGATGGTAGTGTGACTAGTATTGAAGAAAGAAATGTTCTACATTTTTAAAAAGGGATGTTTTCTACGGTGCAGTCGTATTTACTTCTCAAAAAGGGAAAAAAACCAATCTTGGGTCTAATACTTCTGCTGTTGACCTTTCATGTACATGAACCCGTAAACTGGTGGTTTTCTTTATGGTGTGTTGTGTTTCATTTGTGTTGCAGCTAAATACAATTTTTCATGACGGTTGTCAAATATATGCCCCTGGTGATTATCAGCTTCCTTTCTTTTACCGTTGCTTTGTTGATGGTCATGCATGTTCCAGTTGATTGTTGCATCATGATATCCATGTCTAAAAATGTCCATACTCACGAGTATATAAATTACCAGTATCATTTTGTTAAATTTTCAGATCTTTTATGGTTGTATTTATTCAGGAATATACAGAGTGGAACACTTCACCTTTTTATCTTTTTGGAAGTAGTCATATGAAAATGATGTGTCCGTTCTCACACATTATGTTAATCAATTAAGTAAATGCTAAATACTATCTCTGCTTTCCCTGATATTTACAATTGTATTTTTAACCTTAACATAAATTTCTGTATATGATATGAAACTTCAGGTGGATTTTTGGTGTCCTTTTTCATCTTTGCATCCGGACATGATTGAAGAAAATATTTTGCATGTCAAAATCAACTTTGTTTGTTCAATTCAGTTATGTTTTGTGAAATACAGGCAGTGTTTAACTTTACACGGACGAGCACTGAGGGATTCAGCATGGGAAACATTTTACTTGATTTTACTGGAGGCTTAGCAAATCATATGCACAGATGGCCATGCAGTCTATGGATCAAAGTATGTGGTCTTTTTTCTGTCCCATTTAGTCTTATCATCCGCAACTGTCCTTTACACATGTCCTAACTGTAATATTGTTGTCTTTTACAGGTTCTTTGGTAGGGAAGACGCTGCTATCACTGGTATGGACTTTCTCTTACAACTGAGGGATAAATTTGAATCGATTTAGAGAAGCTATAGACCTTTATCTGACACGTTAAGGTTAGGAACATTATTGGACCACCATAAAAAGCAGGAGAACATTAGAATCAACTCATTAGCTTCCCATTTCTATTAGGATTTCAATAGGGATAATCATGTCTTCCTATTTCTACCCCCATTTATTCCATTTTCTTGCTTTTTCTCCTACTCTCTGATCCCTTTCTTCATATTTCGGGCACTTATATCCCTCTTTCTGCCTTCATTGGTTTGGAATGAAAGCTATCAAAAGGCTCTTCCTAGCTATCTGCCTTCCACATCACCAGGAAAAGAAAAAGAGGAAAAATAAAGACAACACAAGGAAAAAGGGAGGGAAAACAAAGACAACAGAAATATGATGTTGCCCACAAATTATGTTTATGACTTTGATTTTGTTCTTTCAAGGGTTTTATAGTTTCAAATAGACAAATCTCTAACTGTAATATAAACTAGTATGTTGCATTTAATTGTTCAATTGAGATTAACTCAATGTAATTCATTCTGCAGGTGGCAGTATCCTTTGACATTCTTTTCATGCTTCAACATTACGTGTTATATCCAACCAAGAGCACTGAACTCTCTGTTAAACTCAATGGAGAGGGTAAGGAGCTGCTTATCAAGTCTTCTGATGAACCAACATCCAAGAACGTTTAGGGAATGTAATTCATTCCGCAGGTATCGATATCCTTTGACATTCTTTTCTTGCTCCATCATTATGTGTTATATCCACCCAAGAGCACTGAACTCACTCCAAGTCTCCAACATTGTGTGTTATATCAGGTCTTCTGATCAACCCACATTAAAGAACGTTTTGGACTTTATTTTATATTGATGAACCATAATAGTGGTGTATCCAGAAAGCATTCAGTTTGATCTTTTTCATCTTGTTGTAATTAGTTTGTTAATCCCATTTCATGTATAGAAAATCAAACAGCTAATTATTTAAAACAAGGAGAAGCATGAAAATTATACCCAAAAACCTAGCTATACAAAACCTTCTCCTTTCTGTTCATTCTAACTTAATCTATTTTAAGAAAAACCCAAATACCTTCTCGAAACAAGATCTTGTTTTTTTAATGGTAATAACTGAAGCTAATCGAGGCCAATGATTGAAAAACTCAAATTCCTTACAAAAACAATAACCCAGTGAGGATCGTTTACAATTTTATAGGATTACAGTCTATAAACTAATTGATAGAATGTCCAAATCTATCCTAAAGTTAAGTAGTAAGGATGGATTTACTCTAAACAAAATAAAAGAGGATAAATTCACTCATAAAATTTATAATTTACACAGATCATCTCAAATTTAATTGTATGATATTATTTGACATTAGAAATTTATTTATTTATTGTGTTGCTAATAAATTTATTATTAATAAATTATTAACATTAAATAATGTGACATGTTAAATTTTAAGTAATTTATTTAAATTAAGAATTTTGTGGGGGAAATTTGTTCATTTTTTGTTTAGGGATAAATTCATTCTTAGAATCTAAAGTGTGGATTTAGGCATTATGCCAGAACTAATTTATTTAGTTCTTGCTGTCAGGAGGGAGAAAAAAATGGTAAAGTCAAAACTTCTTGCTTCCCAAGCTTAGACGTAAAAGTGCAATTATTAGTTGGGAGGTGCTCTTTTTTTATTACTTTGTTAATGCAAGATGAGCTGTCTAACCCAATAGGAATTGGCTTGGTCCACACGAGTTATTACAAACCAAAAGTTCTTGATGCTCAAGTCTCTCAATATATATAAACATAGACAAAGGCACAACCTTTACCATCCTTTCTTCAAGCCCTCATCAAACTTTGCCAGAAAATGAGGAGGGAGGGCCGTCAGCATGGCATGGTCCGGACATACCAGATCTTGCCGGTCCCTTTGAACCCGAGATCAGAACCCCGGTTTCCTCGAAGACTTGACTCGCCCCCGACAGCCGGGTTGTTCACAAAGGTGCCTGCAAAGCCCACCAACCACTCCAAGTTCACAGGCAAATGTGGGCAGTCACGGTGCTTGGGGTGTCACATGCATCCGGTTTGCAAGTCCAAGGACAAGACCAAGGGGAGCCACAAGCTTAGGTCTATTGACATGCTTGCCAATTACCGGATGATTACTTGGCGGATCGTGGATGGCCGACCCGGTTTGAATTACTCTGGGTTTTCTGCCACAGGGATCTTGGACTATTTGGCCAACAACCACCTCGATGATGATGATGATAATGACAACGACGAAATGGATGATGATGATGAATCAAATCACGTCCCACAGAGTGATAGCTCACCGGAAAATTTACCAATGATTGAAGAACATGTCAAGGAAGACGAAAAAAGAGGTAATGATGGCTGTGTTATTGATGATGATAACATGGGTTTTGTCGATTTGGGATTTGAATTGGATCAAAATGAGGTAGAGGAAGGTTGGTATTTAGTTGGAGAAATTTGATGATTGTGGCAATTTGGTTATCCAATGTTGTTTTGTGGTTGTTGGTGAACAGTGTGGCTCGATGGATGATGTATTGGAATTCCTCTTTGGAACATATTTTAATATTATGTTGCGTTAATGAAATAAGGTTGACGCACTCGTATCGCCTGCTTTGATCGGGTGCATTTAAATTCATAACTTCGATCAGAGTTTAAAGTTGCAGTGTGGAGTCTCTTCTTCTCCTTCTCACATTCTCTCCTGTTTAAAAAGAAAAAAAAAAAAAAAGCAATGTAGACTACTAATTGTTTGAGCTATAAGCTATTCTTTGAAGTATCATGCACACAATTAACTAATGGGACAGATGGATTGCCACAAGTTAAAGTCAGTAGATGCTTGCAAGTTAGAAATTCCTCTATGATGGTTGAAAAATAGTGAATTTAAAAGACATTTATCCATACAACCTTAGTGTTTTTTTTTTTTATATATACATATGAATAATTATTAATTATATAATAAAAGATAATTTTTTTTAAAAAAAATTCCTCTTCCTTCACTTAAGATTAAAATTTAAAATTTAAAAATTTAATGATTAAATCACCTCATTAGAATTCATGCAAGTTTAGTGTTCCAAGCTATAAACTCTTTTAGATCTAAGTAGCTGAAATGGAAAAATAAAACATGAATAATTTTTTTATTAAAAAAGTGTTGTATAAATTAAATTGTATTAATTATATAATTTATTATATTATTAAATGAGAATAGTACTCTAATAATAGAAAATTTTTCCTCCTTTAATAATTATTAATATATATTTTTTATTTTTTATTTTTCTATTTTAATCTTTTAGCTTTTCAAACATAAATTTGTAATGAAAGTTAAATATGTTAGATAAAAATAATTAAAATTTTCTGATCAAATAAAAATATTTGACAAAAACTTCACAAAAATTTTTTTAATTATTATTTATATAAATTGTTAAATTTTCTTACAAAATTTATATTAAAAAAATTAAAATTTTAAATTAAAATTATTAAAAATGAAATAAAATATTTTGTAGTCAATAAAGTTTGGTATAAAAAAACTCATTTTTTATTACCTTCAATATTTTAAAAAATTATTTTATAATTTAAATAGTAAAACACTTTTTTTTGAATTAAAAGAAAATTCTTGATAGCTTTTAATTTTATAATAAGACACAATCTAGATTTTAATAATTAATATTTATTTATATTTATTAAATATAATTTTTTTACTTAAAAATAATAAATAATTAAAATTTTATATAAATATAATATATATTTAAAAATTAGAGTTGTCTTCTTTTCCTAACACGAAAACTGTAAAATGAAAGAAAATTGAAAATAATGGAAGAAATTTGAAAAGACGGTCCAAATAGAGCTGTAAAGTACGGCCCAATTAACCACTCACCTGTAGCCACGTGGATCAAAGGGCACACGCGTCGTGTATTGTTGCATCCATTTCCTGTTATCCACCCCCGTCCGTCCTCTCTCAATCCCTACAATTCCTGCAATTGTTCTTCCCGGAGCTCCTAACGCAATTTCTCCCGCCAATTCTCCAAAACCACCGGAGGATTTCCGCCGTCGATTCGCCGCCGGAGCATCGCGCCGTTTTCATCTCATTGACACCGTAACTCCTTCTCTCTCAAAGTTCTCAATCATGTTTAATCCTAGACTGAATGCATTTCTCTTCTTCTTTAGATCTCTGTTAATTTCTAATTAAAGATGCAATCCTGCTAGATGGAAGAAGTCCGATGTTTTTCCTTAGGGCATATCTTCAATTTCGATTACTTGGATAGCTAATTTTTCTGTCAACCTAATAATGTAGATTTGATTCCCACACATCGTTCTGTTGTCAATTTAGCATATGCATGCAAGGGATTTGCGACATGATTGTAGTTTGAGCAACTTACAAATGTTTATGGATTGTTTTCAGATTAGTAATGGTGTGGTTTTTCTTCAAAGTAGAAATTTCAGTGTTTGTATGAAAAATTTTGCGGTTTTATTATGTTCTATCTCGTTGATGATTGATGTTCACTGGTTGAAGGTCAATGGAGAGTGGAGACAATGATATATGATATATAATATATCAACTCATCCGCAGACAGTAGTTTTTGAAGAAGAACCTCAAATATTAAGCAGGGTTGAGGTTGATGCAGAGATAGGGTGTCAAAGTTCAGATGATTATTCCTTGGAGATGAGTCAGGAGACAACCAGTAATGAGGATGAGTGTCAGAGCCCGAACATTTCTTCTATTGACAAGAGTGAGCTGGAAATAAATGAGGAGGAGCATCTTACTCAACAACTCTCTGATGCTAACAAGAGTGAGATGGATGTTGATTGTGAGCAGGAGTCTCAGAGCCCAATTGGTTCCTCTGTTGATGTAATGAGGTCAGGAATTTCTGTAAAAGATGAAGAGGACACATTTTTGGTACCAAAAGTTGGAACGGAGTTTGAATCAGAGGACCATGCATACAGGTGTTACAGTAGATATGCTGTGTTGGAAGGTTTTAGCATTAGGAAAGATTTTGTGAACAAGAGTAGGATAGATGGTGCAGTTATATCCAGAAGGTACACTTGTTACAGGCAAGGCTATAGGCCTAGTAAGCATAATTTGAATGTGAGGAAGCCCCGGCAAGAAACTAGAACTGGGTGCTTGGCACATATGACAATTGCTCGTCAACCTAATGGAAAATTCTGTGTTACCCATTTTGAAACAGAGCACAACCATGAGTTTGTAACCTCATCTTCAGCTCATCTGTTACCATCACAGAAGCGGTTGACCTTTGCTCAGGCTGTTGAAGCTGAATTAGCTAATAATTCTGGGATGGATGGGGTACCAAAGCTTGGAATGGGGTTTGAATCAGAAGATCACGCATATGAGTTTTACAATGCATATGCAGGACGAGTTGGTTTTAGTGTTAGAAAAGATTATGTAAATAGGAGTAAGGTAAATGGTGCTGTGGCATCCAGAAGGTTCACTTGTTTCAGAGAAGGATTTCGCCAAAAAGACAAGAGGGGTTTGAATGTGAAGAGACCTCGAAAGGAAACAAGAATTGGTTGTTTGGCCCAGCTGGTCATTTCTCGTCAACCTGATGGTAAATATCGTGTCACTCATTTTGAAGAAAAGCACAATCATGAGCTTGTTGCAGCATGTAGGGTTCGAATGTTACGATCGCAGAAGAGGTCATCTGTATCTCAAGTTTTTGAAGGCAATGCACTTGATAGTTCTAAGGGACAATCAAAATCAACCTCAGAAATATCATGTAACTCAGCTGGAGATTGTGTTGATCATGGATATGATCCTGTTGATTACAAAAGTAAATTGTCTTCTAGGCGGGCTAGAGAAATGAGAGAAGGAGAAGCAGGAAAAATAAGGCAATATTTTCAAAGTAAGAAATTGAAAAATCCATCTTTTTTCTACAAAATGCAACTTGATGCAGAAGATCAAATAACTAATATATTTTGGGCTGATGCAAAGATGGTGGTGGACTATAGTGACTTTGGTGATGTGCTTTGCTTTGATACAACCAACAGGCTAAACAGAGATTGTCGACCATTTTTCCCCTTCATTGGGGTGAACCATCACAAGCAAATGGTTATCTTTGGAGCTGCTCTTTTATATGATGAAACTGTTGATTCCTTCAAGTGGCTATTCCAGACTTTCTTGGAGGCCATGTCTGGAAAGAAGCCAAAGACAATCCTTTCAGATGAAGATGCTGTACTGGCTGAAGCAATACATTCTGTAATTCCAGAAATCAGTCACCGAGTATGCGTTTGGCATGTATACCAGAGTGCACTCAAACAGCTCAGCCACACGTTTTTAGGGTCACCTTCTTTTGTAAATGATCTAAGCAGTTGCTTTTTTGATTATGAGGAGGAAGAAGGCTTCATTGCTGCATGGAAGGTTATGCTGGATGTACACTGTCTTTGGGAGAATGAGTGGTTGCATAAGATGTTTGAGAACAGGGAGCAATGGGCTATAGCATACAGAAGGGATATTTTTTGTGCTGATATAAAATCTGCACAGCTCTGTGAAGGTTTTATTGCTAATTTAAGAAAGCACCAAAAGCCTGACTTGGATATACTTTCATTTTTCAAGCATCTGGGGAAGGTGTTGAATGATTGGCACTACAAAGAGTTGGAAGCTAATTATGAAATGAATCAACATATGCCAAGATTAATGGGAGATGTGATTCTATTGAAGCGTGCAAGGGATGTTTACACACCAACGATATTTGACCTGTTTCAGCAAGAGTATGAGACTTGTCTGAACATTGTTGTTAATGAATGCATTGAGACTGAAACATCATTTAAGTATAAAGTTAGCATATATGGGCAACAAAGAGAGTACAATGTTACTTATAACTTGTCTGATCAGAAAATTCTTTGTGGCTGTATGAAATTTGAGTATGTGGGAGTTTTGTGCAGTCATGCATTAAAAGTTCTAGATTACAGGAACATTAAGTTGCTTCCCAGCCAATATATCTTGAAGAGGTGGACAAGAGATGCGAGACTTTAGAACTCAAAAGGCATTCTTCTAAGTGTATGACTTGAAGGACTATTAGCGGCTGAAGGGTTATAAGATACCTGAACTGAAATTGTCAAGTTAGTGGCTGTCTGCTGTATTTTATGAAGCAAATTTGCTGTGAAAATTTCATGTAAAGGGAGAGCACACTATGGGGAGGGATTTTGTATTATAATATTATATCTTATTTGTAACATCAGAAAGGTATAAGAATCTGAAATTCTTGTTTTGTTTAATTCCCAGCCTTTTCTAATATTCGTTCTCACGTGGCATTTGAGAAATTAGCCTCTTCCAACATAAGTTTTGTTGATACAGTGGCAAACAGAGGTGTGTATGTTTATTTGAAGGTAGGAAGTGAAATTATATTTCTCAAATCATTTCGAGAGTTGCAGTTGTCATGATGCTACATCGATATTTTAAGACACAACAAAGTTTTACAAATGTTTTATCAAGTACTAATTACAGAAAAAAAAAAAAAAAATGCCCCATGCAATGAATTTGATAGCAAATTGAAGTTTCAATTTCTGAGGCTATTCTTCTTGTCTCATGTCCAGCCAGCATGACTACCAAGCTGAATATTTGGAGATGTGTTCTCATGAGCAACCATTGTTGCAGCTCGTGAAATAAGAGAACGAACTGGATTTTGATTTTTCTTTCCCTGCATTAGCTTTGATCCAATGTTCTTAAATGAAGACTTCTTGCGTGGGGGAGAGTTTTTGGCTTGGACAGTGCTTCCCCTGCTGGAAGTGGGCTGTTCTTCTGGAGGTGATGTCTCAGTTTGTGTCACTGGAAGCTATAAGAAAAAGGAGAAAATGAATACAAAAATCTGGTTTTTTTTTTTTTTTTTCCTTAAGAACAGAAGATAAAACAGCAAGTGTGCTCTGAACATTGAAATAAAAACACAGGCAATGTCGCTTGTATGAGAATAATGTTGCAACAGCAGCCAAAAAGAAAAGGAGATGCAGGTACCAGTTTAATCTGATCCTTTGTGCTTTTTCTTTCTTTATAGAAATCAGGCAGTGGTCTGGCCTTGAAGCAAAAGCTTTGACGCAGCTTCCTGAGTTCTGTTCCTGCCTTTTCCTGCTCGTGAAAAGAGGAGGATAACAACATATATTAGGTAAGCTGTTTCGATTAAGTCATTATCAGCTTTGATAATAGATAGACTTTAGTTTACTTTTCTTGAGGATCACCTAAATTGATATTGTCATGATCTTAGTGATTGGAATTAATCATACAAGAATTAAGAGGATGCCCGAAACTGATATCTAACCTTGAGTGTTGCTTGTTGCAGCACTTCTTCTGTCTGACTGCCATTGAATTTCTCTTCAAGCTTCTGAAAGATGAACTGGGATATGTTATAAATTATTTTTCATCAGGAGAAAAAATGGTAATTGTGCTGAGCCTTGCCTGTTTCCTTCTTGCTGCTCTCTCTTCAGTTTTTAAACTGAATGGTGTAAATATACTGGTTGACTGTGATTTGTTTCTGCAGGAACTCAAAAGCTTTGAGCAACTGGAATGAAAAAACAATTATCAGGACTTGAAAGTCCTTTTTTGGAACAATTTTTTTTATGGTAGGAGTGAATTCTTACTCTGTAGGGAGAAAGCCCCATTTCCTGCGAACTGTTTTACTTCCGGAGGCAGGTGGATCAAGGGGTGTTCTAGCGCTGTAATGTGTATACATGATGGAGTATAGTATATGTTAGGATGAATCTTCAGAAACGTGAATTACTTAACTGTTTATCAAAATCTTATACCTTCGTTTTTCTGACCAAGGAGTATCTGCAGGATGCTTTGGTTTTCCACTCACACAAGCCTGCAGCTCATAAATGAAGAAACTCAAGTTAGCACCCATGGCAGACCATTCAGGAAAGTGGGGTTCAAAATGGGAAGAGGTAAATGTCACCGTGGTTGGAGTCCTAAGAGGAGTTGAGCAGTCTTTAGAAGGTGCTTTTGAACTTGAACCAACTCTCGAGCCATCCAACTTCCGCATGATTGTTGAAGCCAATCTGTTGAATTCTTTGGCAGGGGTGAAATTCATGGACTTCTGGCTTGATTTTGGAGTTGATCTCTTTTTATCCACTGCATCCATTGCTGACTTCTTGGTGGCTGGAGTGCTATTGCTTTCCTTCTTGGGATGAATTCGAGCTGTGAGTTTTGCAGGTGAATATGGCACCTTAGATTCTCTGCCATTAGTTGAAGATTTTAAGGTAGAATGTGGTTGTTTCTTCTTGCTTGTGGTCTTCACTTCGTCTTTGTTACTGTTGGGACTCTGCAATACATGCAAAACAATGCAAATACAGAGATTGAAATATAAATAAATAAATAAATAAAAGGATCGTCAGCAACAGATCGAAGTTGTTAGTTGCTACCTGAAGTAGAGGCTTCTCCATCCCACCAAGATCCAAATCTTCAGCCTTCATCTCGTTCTCAACAACCCCATTCTGACCTGACGACTCGTTCTTCACACAAATTTCCATTTGGGGTTTTTCTCTAAGCTCCAGTTTTCTCATCTCAGTGTTATCATAACCAAATTTCTTGTCAAATGATACATCTTTCACAGAATCCTTCACAATAACCGGATGTTCAGTGACAGAACCAGTTCTTTTGGCATCCTCCATAAAGCCTCTTTCAGCAGCTGGAGCCCTGACCTGTTCTTTAGGGATTTCATCCTTTATTTGTGGATCGGGTGGAGTAGTATCATGAACTCCTCCACCCCCAGCTTCAGATTCCGAAGCATTGTTTGATGCAGCATTGGCTTGTTCCAGCAATGCTGCTGCTTTCCTAGCTGCAAGGTTCTTGTAGTGAGCTTCAAAGAAAGCTTTCTTCTGTGCAACTGATCCGGGGCGAGAAAATCTCTCTGCTTCTTCAACATACTTGTTATGAGAAAAGGTCGACCATTTCTCCCAAGACAAGGACTCTGACATAAACCTCCCAAAAGATACTGACTGCCCAAGAGCATGAATTGGGTTCCCCTGGAAAATCCCAGTTTCTTTAATTTGAAACAGTCCGGTTACCGGGTAAACGGAAAGGAAAACAGTAAACATATTGAATCTACATAGCCTGAAGAAACAAGGGTAAGTGCTCAAAGTTCATAATGAAGTTGCAATGAACTGACCTCATGAGCTTCATTGGGAATGCCTGAAGCATAAGAGAATGGTTGCATGAGACAAGCAGATTCTCCCATGTCTCCTTGATGCTTAAAACCTCAAACGAACCAAACCTGGGGCAGTTATTCTTGCAGTATATGAATTATTGTATTATGTGTTTTCCTTTTCTATCTAGCAACCCCATTTTAAATTTGAAATTCAAATGAAAGGCGACGGGGTCTATTACGTGGAAAAATGGACGAGGAGAATGAGAAAAGTGAAGTGGGAGGCAATCTTTTTTAAGTTTTTTCTCAAGTGGGGTCAGCTAAACTGTGTTTGGAAGCGCAGAAATCTTTTTCTTAGTTGCGTTTGGGACCCCACTTGTAGAAATCAATAAAAACCCTTTAACGTCCATATTGTTGGGAAGTTTGAATTTAAAGATTCCATATTTCTGTTGGGCAGTTTGAATTTTTGATGAATGAAAAACATTCTGAAGGTGGAATAATTAATTGTTGGAGCAATAATGTTAGAGTTAAGATTTTGGGAATCTTATTAGAGAGGGAGATTTTGGCATTATTTATCTCAAAGCATATGATTTTGCGAGAAAGTGGGTAGTGGGTCAGAATTGCATAGATGACTAGAATTAGATGTACCATTTTTAACAGCCAGTGGTTGCAACATCAATCTTTTTAGTGGCAAAGGCATGCCCTCATTTGGAGTGTTAGTAGCTCTTGCAAGGTTGGTTTGCTCCACCTGTTTAAGGATTATGAAATAATGATATCAAAGGTTGTTTTGTTTTTTTATTCTTATTTTTTGAATATAGATAATTTGTTACAATTAAAGAGAGGAGGAACAAAAAATTAGAAAAGGGTTAGTACAGTTTGAACACAGTTTATTAGGTGAATTTTACATAAGGTCAGTGATTAAACCACTACACTTATAGCATGGATTTCAAATTATACTATTTTTTTTTTTTTTTTTTTTTGAGATTATGTTTAAAGTTAGGCGAATGATAAAGAAGAAATCGTTTAGTACCATTAAAAAAAAAAAACATGAAAATTAAATGTCAATGTTGTTACAAATTACAGCATCTTAAAGGAAAGTTGTCACACACCCTTTTTATTTTCCTTTGGGAGCTTAGAAGCTTAGAGCAAACTCTAATATTACATACCCAACAAACTCACTGCGTCTCAAAATATTTGTTATTTTTTACTTAAAAAAATAACAAATATATTGGTACGAAGGGAGTAGCATGAAAACACACTCCTTAGGTAGGATCCTGAGAGCCAAATTATGTGGGGCATAAATTAAAGAATGGCACCGTCAATCAGTGATTTAAAATCACTTTTAAATACATCACATATGGTGGAAGTAACAATTTCACAGCTTTCATTGCTTGCCTATTATTATATTAAAAATATTATAGTTATAATATTATATAATATTATAATATAATTAATTTTTTATATAAATTTTATTTATAATATTATATTATAATTATAAATTTACAATATATTATAATCATAACATTATTGTTTATTACCCATCCTGTAATTTTTAAATGAATTTTCCCTTTCCCCTACAAACAAACAAACAAACAAACAAAGCGGAGTACTTGGAGAGGAGATGTCCCGAGATTGCTTTGGAAAAGAATCAAAGGCCTAGATTAGATCCACAAAACGAAATGTCATAAATACCCTTTAAGAAGGAAAAACTGAAAATCCATTTTCACGCCTCCCCTCTCCCCTCAGACCCCTCCCCTCTGCTCCCGCTGTTCCGTTCCTGCCCTAACTGTCAGATCCCCAGATTCTCACCGGTTTATATTCTTCTCAATAGTGTCTTTGACAAAACATGTAGAAGGTGCCCCCCATCCAGAATGTGACTAATTTTTTTAGAAACAAAATAAAAGTACCCATATAATGTAGCAACAGGTCTGCCTTTCTCTGCCCAAGTTCCCAAGGTATATAATTGAACCTCGAATGATCATGTCTGCACAACCCAATCAACTTTCTGTGCATCTTTACTAGTATGTTTTAGCCGAGTGGACAATTCCAGCAGGTTTGTTAATTGCAGGATACCTGCCAAACCAAGAAACAAAGTTTTCTCATTCCCGAAGGAAGATAAACTTACACATTCTCCAAAAAAAGGGTCCAAATTTTTAATCAAAATGGAAAACTTACCACCAGTCCCTAGTTCTTGGGTGTCTGCTCAGGGAAGGCACCTCAAGGGTCGGAGGCAAATTCATTCCTCAGAAATCCTTCTTCTCATCGTCCGTACAGCTCAGTGGTCGGGTCTTCTTGAAGCTGTGCATGAATCCAACCGTCTGCCAATCGAAGTAGTTCTGGCACCAAACGGAGAACAGCGTCTGGATCCTGAAGGGAGCCTCTATCCCCAGTTTCCGACCCCACCCGAATTAAGTCCAGAAACCGAGAAGCAACGCCACCAAAACAAAGAATTTAGCCATTGAAGCTCAAATTCAACGCCTGATTGCAAATGGGTAGTACCCAAAAGATCTAGATTTCATGAGGATAGCGTAATTGCTTGAAAGTCAGACTCACAACAACTCTACTTTTGCCATTCTTTTGCAGCGAGAAAGAGAAATGCACCCAGAAAAAAATACGGTCGAACGTTGTGATTGTTTTAGAAATACTACAGGTTGCATAAATTTTCAGGCGAACGGGATTAATGTAACGACGCCGGACGCCGGACGCCGGACGCCCTTTCAATTAAAAAGTTCAGTAAACGTTGCCCACCCGCACTTTTGCTCGTCTTCGACTTCAATTAGAACATTTTTTAAATTTATAACAAAAATATTTTACTTATAATATTATATAAAATTAATATAAATTTATAATTATAATATGATATTAATATATAATATTAAATAAATAAACATATATTATTATGAGTGTAATAAAAAATAAATAATATAATTA